TAATTGCGCAGTAGTCAGATATCAATATTCATATAACAGAATCCCAGTATCATAATCACAGGGTAAAGGTATTAGTATCTCATGATAACATTATCAATATCACAGAATATATGTATCAGAGTCACAGAGTAACAACATCAGTGCCATACATTATCAGAGTCACAGAATCTCAATCTCGATGTCATAGAATAACAGTATCAGATTCACAAAATAACAGTGTCCATATCACATAATAAGTGTTATAGCTATAATTTCAAGCCGTGACATCTGGTCGTAAATAGGGTCATGACTTTTGATTCGTTTGGAATTTGAAGATGGTTCCAAGACGAATTTTACACTAGACATAGCTATCTTTCAAATGGGGGAGGTTTGAAAGAAATTGAACCTCGTTTAGCCCCTCAAATTCTTCGAGAAAATGGAGACACTCTCGAAAATCTATTATGCAATAATTTAAAATTTACTCCATAACTCACAATCAAGAAGAAAATTCAAAAAGTGTTCAACATGTGAATTTAAGCTCACTCATGAACCGTTAAAAAGGCAGTAGTTTGGAAAAAACAACGCACCTTTTGGTCAGTCAAAATCCATGACATCAGAACCTCCATTTTGTGTTTTTACCAAAACTGTCCATAGTGACCTACTGGCACGTTTTGAAATATAACTTTACATATATGAAAGCATCAGAGCAAGATGAAAACATGAACATTGAAATGAACTCAGAAATCTTTCTAGTGGCAGTGATTTTATGTCATTTTAATTTCAATTGTTTAGTCAAACTCTCAGTGCAACAGAAGTAACATTCCTGGAAACTATCATAGTCTGCTAACAATGACTTATGAGCATAAAACAAAGCATGTCTTCCAAACTATCAAGAATCTCATCTAGTCATAAACACCAAACTCAAAGTAGACTCGTATACCTTTCAAACGGTGGTGATTTGAGGCCAATTGGATAACATTAGCTCAGTCAAAATCTTATTACCAAAGAATGTAAATTCCCTGGAAAATCGCAGTACACTCAAGGCACATTCCAAAGACCACTCCACAACTTCAAATCCATACAAGATAACAATATGAAACATTTTCTATCTTAAACTAGACTCACATAAGCATTATTCCACATAATTTTAGAATCCACAAGAGTGATAACAGAGCCCAGCTTATCATGCAAACGAGGACCTCATTGCTGGAAAACAGAACACAAACATACATGCTTAACATCACTCTTTGTTCATGGAGATTCATGCTTAAATCTCATACTTTCAAATTCATGCTCTTACAACTTGATGCAAAAGGGTAGTAGTCCACTTACTCAACCAACAATGGTGCCCTCTAACTTTTCTTCTACAATCCTTCAACTCCATCAATGACTGCTCCAAAGTGAGGGAGTAAACTTCCCCAAACTTGTATTAGAGAGAGAGAGAGAGATGTGGAGTGAAAAGTGAAGGATGTGAAGGAGAGGGAAGGGCTTAAGTATCCCCTCATGTGGCAAGTGGCAACCAACTCCCATGCAACTGGACAAGTGGCAAGCAAAGGCCATGAACGGTAGAGCTGCACACGGCGCTAGTCCCCCCCTTCGTGCGTGGCGCTTGCCCATGACGCGTGTTGTGTTTCTCCCTTTTTCATGCAAAGTTTCTCCCTTTTGCCCATGGCATTTCTCCCTTACATGCGTTGTATTTCTCTTTTCTGCGCTCGTCATTTTTCCCTCACGCGCGCGGTGTTTCTCCTTTTTGCGCGTGGCATTTCTCCCTTACGCATGCGCCGTTTCTCCTTTCTGTGCACAACATTTCTCCCTTACGCGCACGGCATTTCTCCCTTACACACGCTCACACATGGCTCTATCTTACTTTCATGTCTCCAAACGGCATTACCCCTCCTCGCGACTCAGTCGGCGATGACTCTCTCACTACGTGGTCGACGCTGCCCCCCTAAGCTCCCAGCCTTATTGCCTTTTACCTGAAATCTAACTTAGTAAAATTCTTAAGTCGTTTCAAGATCGGGCTGATCCCACCGATTTGGGTGGTCTACCGATCCATACCGGTTTTCCAAACGGCCGATCCGCCCCAAGGATCCAAGTTTTTAAACATTGTGTTTAATACCTCCCTAGGAGCACTATACTTGATACTGTCGACATCTAAAATCACTTTTGAGGTGAGTAAGAAATCGTAAAGAAGTTCTACATCACCTCTAAATTCTAGCCTTCAAATAAGATTTAGTTTGAGGCTATATAAAAGTTTTAAGTATTTTAAAGAGAAATTTATTCAAATACTCTTAATTTTTTAATAATTTAATAATTCACCATTTTCAACTCTTCCAATTCATAGTCATGTGTATTTCATTGGATATTTTAAAATTAAATTAAAATATATAAGTATTAAATAGTTCACCTCTTATATGCATTTCCATAAGTATCCCTACCTAAAATGCACTTTCTTTTTGAAATGGGAATCCCATATTTGATATGGGGATTGCAATAGATTGGCAATATTTTTTAATCTCTAATTGTTTTCTCTTTAGAATGTGATTTTCCAGGTTGCTTTAAAATTTGATTTAGAGTTCTAACAAAACTTTGTATACCTTACATCTCTTCCCTAATTATGTAAAGTAAAAGTTTATATAAGGATATAAACTTTATTTGTAGAAATAAAGTTGCATTAATCTACACCGTCTATTTTATTTGAATGTTATAATTTGATATTGTCTTGAAAGATATACCACTTTTCTTTTCTTTTTATAATGTCTTACAAGACATGTCAAATGTACATCATTCAACTGAAGTAGACTATGTGAAAAACACAAGGTTTAAATAAATGTCCCTTTTGTTTTGGCGGTGGCAATTGATTAGAAACATTTTTAGATCTCCAAACCAATGTTTTCCTTCAAGAGATTGTTTCTAGAGATGGTTGACTAATGTAGAAATGCTTTGAATCTTTTGCCCATTCAAAAGTGATTCTTGATGCAAGGAGCATTACCCCCGATGCTCCTGAGCATGCACACTTCTTTTTGGAGTCCTAACAAATAGGGGCGCAGTTTCTCTGAGTCCATTTAGAAATGAGTTCACTCTAAAAAATATATTTTTCATATTGATATTTTGATCCTATTTTTAAGGACATTTAATCCCTAACATGGAGATCATGAACGTGAAAAAATAAGTAAATTTAAAAATTTTAAAATAATAATTTTATGAAAAAAATATTTGGACTGTTAGTTTTAACTGTTTTTAGATGAACCACTCATTTGCATTCATCTTTAAGATAGATGGGGGACGCAAATGTAGAAATGTGTCCCCCGATGCATGGAACAACTTTCCAATAAATGGACACGTAAATAGTTTCTTATAATCTTTATGAGGCTGAGTTTGAACTCTAATGCAACTTTATTGATGGATCAGATTATTAGTAAAAAACGATGTATTTTTTTTAAGCGAAGTATACAAGAGGACAATAAAAAAATATCATTTAAATCCTCAAAGCACATATGAAAATTATTAAGTTGGACTAATGATTCTATTTACCAGTGGCTATTTTTCAAGCCAAATGTTTTGTGATGGTTGAGACAGTTTATGGCCATCAGAAAAGTGATTGATGGGTTTTTTTATGGTTGTTGTATGTTAGGTAGTTATGACTGTCAATTAACAATCACTCTAACTACTCTCAACTTGAAAAGCCATTTTCCTACTCTATACAAACTTCCCCATTCTGTTGCATAGTTTCCATACCTATGTTTCTTTGTCTTGCTACTTTCTCACTATAAATTAAAGCAATTTTTATGGTGCATTGAATAGGCAAGATCATACAAGGATTTTTTGTTTTCAGGTATCCCAAGGATTAATTTACATTTTTTTCTGGTGAGTCGGTAGGTAGAAGACCCCTATCCTTAACAGAAATTGAGCCTAGGACGTGACATTACAAATCATCAAGCGTTAACCAATTAAACCCAAACTCTTTTCCTAAACGAGAACTAATTTATACAGTATTATCTTTTGCATATTGATTAAAATTAGTAGGGAACAAACATGATCATGAGGCAACCAAAGATCCTTCATTATTATTTTAGAAACCTCCACCATCTGATTTTATAGCCCCAATTTCACCCACACCAGTATTTTTCAACACATAAAATATTGTTTTCTTACTCCAATAAAAGAGCTCAATCCAAGAAAGATAAATTGTGAAAAGTCGTGGGATCTCTGGTTGGAGAGACCAAGAAAGAAAACACAATTTGAAGAGAGCCACTCTTTAACCGCGTATGGTTGAAAATTTACCGACCCTATTTTTTAAAATAATATATATTATTATATCTATATACAAATATGTATGTTATATTATATATATATATATATATATATATATATATATGAAAAAAACTTTCCAATACCTATAGTCGAAAATGAATAGTAATTTCACCTACCTTCATCACCGTCCAAAATTCATCGTACAGTCACGACTGTTCGATAATGTTTATTTTTTATTTATTTTTTTCTATAAATCGAAATGACCTTAAATTTGAAAAAAATGTACATCTTACTGAAACGCATCTAATAAAAATATAAAAAAAATTATCCGCTAAACAATTAACCAAAATACTCTCAAAACTTTTCAAAAGTATTTTGATCAATTTTTTTCATGTAAAATATTTTTTTATATATTTTTCGAAAATTCTCCTAGTTTTGATGAATATACGTTCTAAATTTAAGATCATTCCGATTTGTAAAATAAAAAATAAAAAATAAAACACTACTGAACAATCGTTACTACGCGATAAACTTTACACGGTGATAAAAGTAAGCGAAAGCACTATTCAATTTCGCCTATAAATGTTGCGTAACGTTGATATATATATATATATATATATATATATATATTAACTTTAATAATTATATTTTAACTTTATAATATACAAAATTGAAATTAATTCGGATCTAAATTCGGATCCAAATATTCTAGATCACTGAGTAGGAGAAGATATACCGAATATCCTCTTACACCTAAGAGAAAAATATGCAGAACAATCATACATATAAATCTTCCTCGTGTATCGTTAGACATAGCCGGTGCATATCATCCAAGATGCCATATGGAGGTACATCCCCCCTGTCCACTCAATAAGGTTCATATCAGTTACATTAAATTAATGAATTAGCTTTCCCTGGGGCACCGTTGCTGTTGTCTCAAGAAACCATTACCCTCTCTCTGAATCAATGCAGTCATCTCAATAAAAACCCCTCGCTCTCTCTCTTATAACTGCAAGAGTTCCCCGTCTTACCAGAGGCGAATAGCAGTCACAGCAGCAACAACTGCTCTAAGAGTTTCCTGCAACATACCATACACATAAATATGGATAAACACAAGGGAAAAGTTTCTATACTTCCCTTACAGCATAGAAGATCTATGCTTCCCCTACCATCCAGCCGTCCAATTTTGATCAAGAGAGCCACTTATCGTTTGATCTTAGATCCGACGTCTCAAAATATTTTATTTTATACTAATTGTATGAATATGAAATTTGATACGTGCCATCCTCGCATTGGGACACACCTGTAAAAAAATATTAAAACTAATATTTTGATAAAATTTAATGGCCAAAATACCCCTTGAAACTTTCAGGGGTATTTTAGTCATTTTAGTTTATTTGAAATATTTTTTTTATATTTTTCACTAGTGCGAGTTTCCTAGAGGATTGGATGTACAAAATTTGGTGTTAAAATAGTGTGTAGAAAAAAAATTAAAAATAAAATAATACAAAGACGTGACATTGTAATTGGGGCAATCTTAACCCTCCTACGGTCCAGAATGGAGGGTAGAATAAAGGGAGGCATATAAGTTTTATGCTGTAGGGCAAGCATAGAAAGCTTGCCCTAAAAACAATGCATTCCAATGCAATATGAAGGTCTCCATAGAGAAAACTTTGGATGCCATAGTTTTTTAATTTTATAAACTGGCAAGTTAGACAAAAACTACCGTCCAAGACTAGTTTTAAACCACTTTGAAATTACTCATTACTTATCAAATAAAAAAAATTGTTCTGAGATAAGCTTTTACATTCGGTTTCTAGTAATTATCCTAAATATAATCCATGCCATGGCCTTCCACAACTGCACTACTTCATATATTCCCCACGCATGGTTGGAAGCGGATACAGATACCAATGGCTTCCAAAAGAGACACCTAAACTCCTTTTGACTGTAACATACATACAGAGAGAGGGAGAGAGAGAGAGAGAGAGAGAGAGTA